TAATGAGGAAAGAGAGAAACTGTGTAATAAACATGAGGAGGCAGTCAGAGCCTGTACTTGGTGGCACAAAGCATATCTTTCTCAGACTGGAAGTACACAGATTAGCCAATAGCTGTGCAATAAGACCCTTGGAATACATACCTCTTTGATAATGTATCTTATTCACCTGGGAATTGTTTAACACAATATGGTTTTACTATAATGTAACTAATATGTATGTACGTAATGATCATTTAAGCTGAACATATCTTCCTATAGAAGTTCTGATTTCCTAAATCCAACCCATCGGTCTCTCAACTTACCTGAAATTGTTTTATTTAATGTACAATAAATATGAAGTGTTTAAGATCTACTAAGTTCTTGTTTACTATCTGTAGGGGGGGGGGATCTGTTCTCCTCTTACATATACATATTTCAACATTTTAAATATTATAAATACCAACCACAATGCCTTTGATCATTCTGAATCCACCCCCTTTTCTCAGCAATTCGTGGGGCTCTTCAAGGTATCATATCTGAAAAGAGACTCAGGCCAGAGCACTAGTGAGTTCAATGTGAAAGGCAAAAGTGCCTGAGGTAGGGTAAAACAGCTCCATTACTTCTCCAACTCTGGCATCGTCAACCTCCAAGCATTTTAGGAGTGGGGGTGATTGTCCCCAAGTCTCCAGCAAACTCTGAAGCATGTGAGACACAAGGTCGCACAGATTTTGGCCGAGTTGTCAATTCCCTATTGCCCTGTCATTTATTTACCAGTTCTCACTCTGATTGTGCAGACAGGGCAGGTTATGTGCTTACTGGCTAATGATTGATCTCCAATTATAGTTTATAAAGATAAAGGTCTACTTAGACCAGTAGTACATTACAAGATGTTTATTTGATGTAAGTGCATTTTCAAGCATTCAGCAGTCAGTAATTATGCAATAATAAAGAATGTGTTACTATGAACTGCCAGAGCTGAACTGGTGTTTTTGCAGTTTAATTAGCACTTCTTTCACTCTGGGCATCTGAATGCATTTTCTCACGTTCTTCTGTGAATCTTACTTACTCACTTCTCTCCCTCCTTTCTATCTTTGTGATTCCTTCTGTAGTGCTATCTGTACAGGGAAGCATTCTGCATTCCCAGTGATCCTGGACACCTCCTTCCACATACACCTGCATTTCACCCTGCTCCTGCCAAGACCAATACCCTCCTACACATTCGTTCACACCTACACATGAAAGAAAGCAACACATCTAGTAAGACTAGAATTATTTACAGGATTAATAATTTCTGTTTATTCTGTAAGTCACCAGTGAATTAGGACTCCATCTATTTTGAAACACAGAAGGGTGCAGGAATGGGTCAGTTTGAATAAATGCCATGGAGGTTTAAGCATTTAAGCACATGGTCCTCATTTAAGGTAGTACCAGCCTGTTACAGTCAGCACCAAAAGCTACAGTTGTTGTGAGTTTGTGCTTGTCAGTACACCAAAAATGATGCACGCAACCATCTCCACTTTGTATGCAGTGATGTTTACAACTCCACGTTTGTGTCTATTTGCCTCCTTAGTCTTCATAAACACACACATAATAACCTGGAAGCCAGCATAAACCTCAACTCCTGTAGGCCCTCTGATGATGGAATTAGCTGCTCTAATTTCTAACAGATGCCAGCACTGTTAAACGACAAGCTGAGTGAGCTAAGCTACTTTTCCTTGTGTGAACGTAAGCCTTATACTCAGATGTCCTCAATTCCTCCCCAGTTGCATTTCCCAGCATTTGCCATTGGCCATTCCTCAGGCTGGAGATACAGCACGCCAGCAGGAAGTGCTGGGTATCAGGCCGTGGGTGGAACTGAGATGAGTGGGCATTAGTGTGCTATAAATTCATGTCTCACCAACTACGCTGAGCGGCCAAGCCTCTGGATTAAAAATTAATTGACTTTGACAGGAATGACTGGATGGGGCGGGACAGTGAAGGGACATCTAGTAGATCTCAAACAGGCTGCAGAGCCTTATACAGAGAGAATAATAAAAGATAAAGTTTTGATTTATGACTATTTGTTTAATGGGATTCTCTGGGGATGATGTTTGATAAATGAAATGGTGACCAAACCCACAGACTGCAGAAAATGCTATTGAAATCTGCAGCCAATACCAGCTTAGGAGAATAAAGATGTGCCAAAGACAACAACAACTACAGGCAAAACTACATATGGAGAAATAGAAGCAGCAGAATGTCATGCTGTAGAAGATGTGGCACAATGCTCTGAAGAATAAATTTCTCCAAAATCACATGGAATTTTCAGGTAATTAGTGAACCTGAAAGAGGCATAGGAGTAACAGAGGGAGGCAAATAAAACCTGGTCATGAGACAAAGTAACAGCAAAACACAAAAGCTCAACAATCAGTGAAACTAGTTGTAGCTTTGTGCATTAGGTTGTACTCCCTGATGCTTCATAATATGTGAAACCAGTTTATGAAGTCTTCAGCTAGGTGCATTATTCATATTACCTGTTTGCTACGTACAGTCTCTATCAACTAGTATGTGCTGAGGTTATAGGTCATTAGAATCTTTAATAAGATATTTCTTTTCTGCACACTTAACCACATCTACCAGGAATTCAGTATTTTTGAAAGCTCTGCCTTAGTGTACATAAGCCAAGGAAAATCAATACTTGGACTAAGAAAGCAGACCCAAACATGTAAACACACATAGATACACACACACACAAAGATGAATCAAAGTTAATTTAAAAAAAGAGGTTTATTTTTAAGGAAGTCAGAGGAAAATATTTTGTCTTCATTTGGCTTGCTCTCCTTGCCCATGGAAGGGCATTTGGCATATAAATGTTACAGCTGTATAAATACAGATCCATTCTCTAACTGCTGTATGTGGAGCTTGATAAAGGCGCTGTAGTTACCCATTTGCATTGCAAGATTGTGACCACTGCCAGCACACTTTTCCCTCACCAAAAACAATCTCACAAATATAGGAAAGGAGGGAGTAAAAAACCACATGTAATCTTCTAAAGCTTATTTAAATTGGGATATACTGTTGATAAGCAGGTCTTTATGAAGAGTCAGAAATTTTTGAAAAAATTCCTTTTATAAAAAAATGTTTCAAGCTTCCTGAACTTCTTTACAGAGGGGAAAAAGAAAAGTATAATATTGCTACCTGCTACAGAGCATTGTGAAGGGACTCTTACTTTATGAAAATCTTTTGTTGCATTTTGAGATTCTGGAGCAAAAGGCATTCTATTTTAAGCACAGAGTGCTTACTGTCACTTGATTTTCATGTCCTGCTTTCCCGACTGACAGGTGAAGCTGCTGCTTTGCTGAAGCAGAGAGCATTTTGAAGCAAAATGTGTCCCGAATACTGAGGAAGCAGTGGAAGTCTAAACACATTGGACTTTAAATTCTATGTGCTCTTGTTCTACAATTTATTGCTGCATATTTTTTAAATTAAAACAAACCCTTCCCCAAGGCCAGTGATTAATTAAGTAGGGAATTTTTGTTTCTTCCTCTACTTGTGGCTTTTTACACCACTTACTTTCCCCTCCATTTTTTTTCCTAGTTTCTCTTCTTTAACTCTTGGTATTGGAGCTTGAGCAACCTCTCCATAAATACCAGTACCATTATGTTCATTGACAACAGTAATGCACAGGGTATTAAAAGAAACAGATTTTTGCCTTCTTCCAACCCAGTGATCCCAGTGGACTGGGGATCTGTCTGGCTGAGAATTTGTTGCATTTCCCTTTTGCCATTCTCTAGTTGGCTGTTATTGATTCTTTCTTTATTATGTTACACATTACCTCTTCTTTTGCTAGCAGTTCCTCTCTTCTATGTTTTGGCCTCTAACGACCATTGCTGTACCATATTGTTTTTAGTGATCTATACATTAAATCAGCTGATAAATGGCGTAGCACTTGGAAGTTGCATACTGCATCATGGGATTATGAAACCACCCTTTAGCCTGACTGCTGCAGTAAAGAAACCTGCTCAAAACAGTATTAACTTTATCAGTTGAAGTGAATCAGCTCCCTTTGAATAACAGGAAATGGCTTTGTCTGGCCAGAAAGCTGCACCCTCTGGCTCATAATGGAGTAACTTAAAAAAGACTTCCAAACTAAGATGTCATTTGAGTTTATAATACGCATTGCAGGATGTATTTTACACTTTCTACTTCATCTTTCACACAGCTACACAGGGCTCACCTTTCCTCAGCCTCACTCAGAAACCACACACCCTTCTAGACATTCAGGGACACATCTAAAATCCTTCACATGGCCAATTCAAATAATTTGATGTGCCACAAATTGTGTCTTTGTGTAAAAGTGTATTTGTTTTGAAGCACTTTCTCTATGCAGATCAAGGAGGTAAATTAAGTCCTGTGCTAACACCGTGTTCGGGTGTCCCACAACACGTTAAGATCGGAACTCCCCAGGCAAAGCAGAGTCGTCTGCTTTGGGTGGTAGAGGGACCCTTGGCTGACACAGTGGGGTCACCTCCCTGCAGGGCCTGTCCTGCTGGCTGCAGGGAGGTCACCTGCTGCCCTTATACTTTACTCCAGCAAATATCCTTGCCGGCCACCTTCTGCGTGTCCCCGCTCTGGCCATCATCTGCACGATGAACTGCGCGAAAGCAAAATAAGCTGAATGAGGAAAATCACAGGGGAGAGAGGGATTCGACCCACGCTGCCCGCATCCAGGAGCGGCGAAAGGTGGGCGCATCACCCCGGGGACCAGCACGGCCCGCGACTGCCCACGGTCCGGGGATGGACACATCCTGCTGGGGCGCACCCCTCAACGACCGAGGGCTTCCCCCGCTGCCAGGGAGATTCCCATCCCCGCACGGGGAGGCGGGGCCGTGCTCGCTGCGGGGAGGGGAGGGGGCGGCGCCCTCGGGGCGATGGAGCCTGAGGCGGGCCGGGGGTGAGGGCGCTTGCCCCGCACTGGCCGCGGCGGGGGCGGCCGCTGCCCTCCGGCCAGGCCGCTGCTGGGCGTCGGCCTCTTCCGCCGCTGCCCCCGGCCCGGCCCCGCCCCGAGCGGCGGCGGCTCCGTGACCCCGGTGCCGTCCGGTGCGGCGGTGCCGGCATGGCCGTGCCCTGGGCTCTGCCCGCGCCCCTCAGCCCGGCGCAGCTGAAGCGCCTGGAGCAGCACCGCTACAGCGCGGCCGGGCGCTCGCTGCTTGAGCCGTGGCTGCAGCCGTACTGGGGCTGGCTGGTGGAGCAGGTCCCGCTGGGGCTGGCGCCCAACGCCATCACCATGGGCGGCCTCCTGCTGAACTGCCTGACGGCGCTGCCGCTCATCGCCTGCTGCCCCAGCGCCGCCGAGCAGGTACCGCCCGCCGCGGCCGCCGCCTCTCCGGCACACCCCGACCCCGTCCCCGCCGGCCGCCCCGCGGGTCTCGGTGCCCGCTGGTGCCTCCTGGCAGCCCCCGGAGCTCCCGGGCCGTGCCCCGCGGGGTGCGGTGCCCCGTCACGGGCGGCTGCACCAGGCGTCCCGTAGGAACGAGGTCTGCGGGTTTGTCCCGAGAAATCAGGGGAGCGGCGGTGCGAGGCTCACGCTTTGGGGCAGCAGGGGCCGAGCTGGAGACGAGTGTTAAAGTTTGAGTGCCAAAACGCTGTGAAAGGACGAGGTTCAGTGGGCTCCGGTCTCCTGCCTGGCCCTTCGCTGAGCAGAGGGCCCCGCGGGGCTGGGCCTTCGGTGGGCACCGTCCTGCACTGCACGGCGTGGTTCGCGCTGCTGCATGGGACCCCCTGGCTCCTCCACCGACCATCATGTCCCGTGTGTGCCTCAGCTTGCTGGGTAGGAGAGGAAACCCTAGGGGCTCAGGAGGAACGCTGTAACACAAGGGGCCGTGGGGGCAGAACCAGCCGCTGGTCAGGAGAGAGGGTGCGGGATGTGCCCAGGAGCAGGGCAGGCTGGCTGGAGCTGGCCATGGGGCACGGCTCCTGCCCCTTCAGCATCGCTTGGTTCACAGCTGCGGCTCGGTGGCGTCGCAGGTGTGTTAGCTGATAGTAGCTCACATGCTTCCCTTCCTCGTGTGGGAAATATTTAATCCCTTTAACTTCTGGAGGGAAAACAGGCTTGTTAACGTGGGCTGGTGCTGCTGTCACTTTGAACAGCGTTGCCTGCAGTTTCTCTGACAATTTCAGGAACTGTCAGCTTTGCAGCCTGTTACAAGTTTCCCATTGCAGTCTCTTTATAGTAGTTGGGGTAGCAAATATCAGGGGAAAGTTGTTTTAGGTGGATAAAATACCTTGAAAGGTGGCAGTTTTCCTTGTGTTCTGGTGGGTTTAAATCCTCATAGCAGAGGTTGGCTGTTGGTGGTTTTCATTTTTTTTAATTGCATAGATTTACTTTGGTGAGTGTTTGTGTCAGAAGAAGATTTCTTTTTCTCTAATTGCTTTGCCCTTTGTGCTAGCAGAGGTGTTTGTGACAGACATATCAGGAATCTGAACCAGATCAAAATTAACTTTGCTTTGGTCACTGCCCTGACATACATCACCAGGTAAAGGCACTGTGGCATTGGGTGGTAGGAGAAGGGAAAACAGAGGTAATACTGAATGGCTGGAAACCACAGATTGTCTTCTAGTGGCACTTTCGGAATTAAAATGCTTGTGGAACTGCTACCTTTAGCTTAGCTTTGTGATGAAAATATCAGTTGAGTGCCAGCTAAGTGTCTGGATGCTCATTTTAGCTTTTTTCTCTTTGGTATTCAAATATAAAAGCAGAAAGTAAATTTTAAGTTATTTTTCTCTTGAGGACTCTTGTACCAAAAGAAAAAAGTTGTGTTGCAGACATCCAGGGAATTATTCCTTCCAAGAAAGCTTAGGTAGATTTTAGAAACTTTACTGGTTTTGTGGGTTTTGAGGGTTTTTTTTGTTTGTTTGCTTGTTTTTTTTAATTGTGGAAGCTGAATTTTATAAGAACCTATAGTTTGGACTGCACTTTTTTTCTTCAGATTTCAGTATATCCTTTAAAAATATGTACTGTGAAGCCAGACTCATCCTATTGTTTTGTTTGTTGCCTCTGTGCTGTTGAGAGTAGCCCTGATTTTCTCTTACTGCATCACTTCAGAAACATCATTCTCCTTGTTTAATGACTCAGCTTATCTTCCACCTAAGTTGAGGTCATGTTTCTGGATGACTTTTTGAAAAAGCTAAAACTGTTGCAACACTAATAGGTGCTATACGTGCTGTTGTAATATCTGCTTTGTAGTTTTGACTGGGATGTGTAGGCTGGAGGGGGTAGGTGGAACTGAAGATGACGTTAAAGATGATTGAAATCGCAGACTGAACCAAATATCATAGTGCACTTCAACACCACTTCTCCATATGGCCTGGGCAACTCTTCCATTCATGAACAAGTCTTGATTACCTGATGGTCAAACAAGAACTTGTTATATTCTCTTGGTGGAAGGGTGGGTGCACTGGATAGAAGACATGGATAAAATAACAAGCAGGTTTGGGTTTGAGTTTAGGGTTACTTTGGGGGGAGGGGGGGTGGTTCTGAGTTGGTTTGTGTGGTTGTTTTTTATTCCCTAACCAGTCTTAAGTGGGCCATTTTGGTTAGGCCTTTATTAAAATCACAGAAGTCTCGATGTTTGTACAAACTGTCCAAAACGAGTAAGACTGGTAGCTGAAATCCTTCAGAGAGTAGCTGCTGACAGATGCTTGGAAAAGACATCTTTCTCCAATACACCCTTCCAGCTGCCAAGACTCTGGTTGAGCAGTTTTTTTCACATAGGGTTCTACTTGGGTTACCTACTAGAACAGCAGCTGATGGATCTGTTTCCCCACAAACACTTTCCACTTCGTGATTTTGCCCTTTGAATTAGTTGTTTTGAACCTGTTTGTTCTTTCAGCTTCCATTATGTCCTATTGCAGTGATTTCTGCAATTTCATACTGCTTACCCCAATCCTAATGCAATCAATGTCTCAAACCATACAATGCTCCCTTATTCTCTTAATGTGGATGCATTATTTCCCTATACACTGTTCTTTTTATCTTCATCAGCATCAGTAGCCACTAAAAGCCAGTTTGTTACTGACTAACACAATATGTTTGGGATTTATAAAATATTGTCTGCTTCAGTAATGTCTTCTTGTCCAGTAAGAACATGGGTTGTTTCAGTGCCTCCTGTAAATGCACGTTTCAACATAAGCCTTCTTATTTGCAGCTAAGCCATTAGCAGATTACGCCCTTCAAGCACTGTTGTAAACAAAATCCATGTGTGTGTGCTTTTGTTGAGTGTCCAGTTTTCTACTCTCTGTAACTTAAGGGAGTAATCTATAAAAATAATACACAGGTGTGGTGGTGAGGAGGACATCTGCACATTTCATCTTCTGTGGAGGGCTGAAACATCTCATTCACTGTGACTGCAGCCTGGGTTGTATTTTGTTTTGGGGTTGTTTGTTTGGGTTTTTTTGACACTAATTATATTTAGGAATGAAAAATTTTGCTGACATTAACTATGAGCAGTGTGTATTTGCTGTGTTAGAGTGTAATAAGGTTTTTATCCCTACCATTTGTCAGTGAATTGTTTTGCTCCACTGCTAGGAGACTTCTCTGAAGTAGCTACAGTCAGCCTCATGTACTCCTCCCAATTCTGGGTAAAACTGGGAAGAGAACTGTCTAGACATAATTCTCTGTATTTCTAAAAGAGAGAAAGGTAACTTTGATCCTCTACTGTCGTGGTTGCTCATGGAGGGGCCTAGCTTTGATAATCCTTCAAACTCAGCCACAGGTCTCCTTAAAAGCAGAGAATAGTTGAGTGGAAGAGACCTTTAGAGGCCATCCTGTCCAACCCCTTGCCATGAGCAGGGACATCTTCAACTGGATTGGATTGCTTAGAGTCCCATCCAGCCTCAGTGTAAATATTTCCAGGAATGGGGCATCCACAGCCTCTCTGGGAAGGAAGGGAGACTCATGATGGGTAGCTCTGTAGAATTGTTTTAAGAAACACTGTAGTGAATTTTAAAAGGCTGTCATACCTTGCTGAAACATGCTGTTTAGAAAGCCATACATCTAGGGAGACCAAAAAGCTGTGGAGGGTCTAGGTGACTCCAGCTATCTCTACTATTAATTGCTTGCATGCAGAGGAACATTGGTGAGATGCTCTCTCTGCTTCTCTCTCTCTCTTTTTAAAAAACTTTCTTAAAAAAACAAACCAAGAAACTCTCCAAACAAACAAACCGCCTTTAAAACTGAAAGAGGGATTGTCTTGATGTTTTTCCTGCCAAAGGGGAAAAATGAGGGGAAGATACTAACAGGCATGATATTATGTACAACAACTGAGGTTTTGGGGAGAGAGAAGTAGAAGAGGTAGAACTGGAGAAGCTGCTATGAACGGTGGGGCCCCGGGGGAGGGAATGCAGAGGAGGAAGCTCCTGACTTGGTAGAGAAGTGTGAAGCACTGAGTGGAGTGGGAAATTTATCCAATACCAACCAGTGAGGAACAGAGCAATCAGTTGTGAATGGGAGATGGAGGTTATTTGGCATGAAATAAGACCGTGAAGGTCCAGGAATCCTGATACTTCAAGGAAAGGAGCTCTTTCAGAGGGAGCTTGTTGGAGAGAGGAGGATTCTAAAGGAATGCAGGGAGTCCTTGGACTGCAATATGTTGTTTTGTTTTTTTTTTTTTTTCAACTCTGCCCTCTTCCCCTGCTGTAGTTCAGGTTTGAACAGCCCCCTCCCTTCTCCTGCTATTAGTAGAGTTGCACACAGTGAAGGGAGGGAAATGATCCATGTTTGGGGGTAAGAGGGAGGGACTCCAATCAAAATGTTTCTCTCTGTTCTGGATTAGTTCCAAAGAGGGGCCATGTAAACTGGGGCAAAACTATTAGCTGTGGATTGAGGAAGTGAGATTATGGCTAAATGTGATGAGTAATTAAGGGGAACTGAATCTTTGAATAATGCAAGAGCTTGGCCTGTTGAACCCTCTGGACTTGACAGCTTTGCTTGAAACGAGTCATAAAGGATCTCCCTGACACGTGTCGTCTTCTGCAGCTTTGTGCGCTCTTTCGTGAGGAGGAATCACAGAAGCAGGAGAATGGCTGCTCTTCTACCTCCATTGTGTCTGAAGAAGAGGTCGTGTCACACATACCTGTCAAACACTACAGGCACATGGCTTATTGTTTTTACACCCTCTGGTTGAGTAGATGACCAGACCTGCTGTATCGAATCTGTGTGTGACAAGAGTCTGGGGCTGTAGCATCTGTCAGACATCCTTTTGAATTGAAGCAGAGAAGCATCTCCTCCACTCGTGGCCTCCATCACCCAGGTTTCTGTTCTCTTCTAGTTCTGTGAGAACAGCATCTGGCTCTGGCCAAATAATATATTTGCTTGGGCAGGATATCACTTCGGGTAGAGATAATAAACACCTCATCAGTGAAAAGCTGATGATTATTGGGAGCCTCCTGACCTTTCTGCTCAGTCTGTCAGCCATGTCAGCATTCTCAAATGTTCCCACTTCTCTAATTTGCAAACTACTTGGGTCCAGCGTGGGAAGCTGTCAGGGGACATCCCTGGATGGAGAGCCAGGCATGTGAGAAGGCGGAGGAGACAGCAGCTGTAGTTGTGTTGAGAGGGTGGATAGTAGAGAAAATCCACAGTTATTAGGAACCTTGGAAACCTCTGTGTACTGCTGGTGATTTGGAAAACTGTTTTTTACTGATTAAAACATTAGAGCATTCATTTAATATGCTAAATGACAGTTGATCCCAAATGAATTTTGGTTATTACCACTTTGGGTTAAATTTGAACTGACAGCTTACTGATGAAGTGCTCCAGATGATATTTCTAAGCTCTCTGACACCTGTTCCCCTGTTCTTAACTAGGATTTTTTTCCCTTATCCTCAACTGTGGGAATACTGATAGATCTGCTACAGGTGCTAATGGATACAGATGATCCTCACTGGGAAGAAGATGAACACTCTCCCCCTGCCTTTCCAGATCAAGGGGCAGAGTGCTTTAGTTTTGGAGTGTAGGAGGACCGTTGCTTTGATTTGCCCCAGTAGGAGCTATTGCAAACAAATTTGAATCAGCAGTCTGACTCAAATATATATATTACTATAGCTTGCAACTAGACAAAAGCCACTGCTTTGTCAAAAAGACCTAATAAAAGTTTTGAGTGAAAGCTGATTTATTTGATTATTTTTTGCATTTTAATGTATTACATTTGTTTTGTAGCAAGATAAATGTAGACAGTGTTACCTTGAACAAAAATTCTCGCTTCATGTTCTGTGGGTTGTGGAAACTTTCATAAACTAACTACAGTGACCAACATGCAAGCCCTCTGTTTTGGTTAGGACTGAGCCTGTATTTCTCATGGAGCTTGCATTTCAAAAGACTGTGCTGATGCTATGCATACAGCACTACAGCTAATGATTAAAAATTGTGCCATAACATATTTCTGTACCTGAGTGATGTTTCAATGATGGAAATGATCCAGTTAAGTAAGAAAGTGCCCATGCTTTGGCATTTGCAGTAATTGGTGATGTGCCCCACACTGGGGTGAATGCAGTGTGACTAAAGGATTTGGCTACCATATTTAGCACTGGGTACAGTCTACTTTCATCAAACCTGATAACTAAAGCAAGCTAAAATCTATTTCAGTTAGAAATATATGGCTGCAAAAGGAAGGGAGCCTAATGCAACCAAAAAGCCAGTGGTGTCCTATGCAGAATTGCCAAGTGTGGCCTTCTTTACTTGTTAAAATCCAGGGATTAGGATGACAAGTTTCGATAGACCTCAATCATTTCATAGCCGGTAGAAGTGTGTCGCAGCAGGAATGCCTTGTGAAACACTGCGGGTTGTCTTAAGGAATACCTGAAATCATGTTGGTCAATGTGTGCTGCAGGAGAGGAATTGCCACAGCAATTGTGGAGTGCCACAGCAGCTGTCCCTGACCTGGGAGTGGGAAAGGATCCAGTCCTATGGCTGTTCACTTGTTCAACCTGCAAGTTGCATTTCCAGCATTTATACTTGACTTTTCATGAAAGCTTCTAAATGCTAAGGATACCATTTGAGGCTAGTTGAGGCAAAATGTTACCTGTGCTTTGTTCAATAGGTGTTTTAAATAATTTTTAGCAAAACCTAATTCCTAGACAAAGTCATACTGACTGTGCATGTGGAAATAATGCTTTTGAAAGGAGTGACTGCAGAACAGTTCCTTTGGACCAAAGAGGGTGTTAATTTAACTAATTCACAGCTCGTTTTGAAACTGATAGTGTAAATTTAGTAGATAGTTGCTCCTGTATATTTAGTGAATGACTTAATTTCTCTAAACCCCGGCCAAAGTGCCTCTGTAGTCAATTTTTCTATGTTGGAAAAAATATCTTTCCCTAGAGGCTGAAGTCTATATTTGGTAAAAACCATAACAGGTTTTTATATCTATATGTTGTGAATCTGAGCAAATCATCTAAGTGTCTATCACGTAAAACGCTGAGAGCTTTAGTAAGGGCTTTGCCACTGCTTTCTTTTTTAATGATTATTCTTATTTTTATAACATTTTTCAGCACAAAGAATGCAAATAAGTAGAGAAACAAATAGCACATTATAATATAGTTTTCTGCTGAACAGTATTTTACCTTTTATGAAACAGGTTATCAGCTAAGAAATTGGGAACTACCTAGTGACCTTTTATGTGAATCTCTTTCAGGCACCTTCTTGGGCATATATCCTGGGTGCAGTAGGACTTTTTATCTACCAGTCTCTGGATGCCATTGATGGGAAGCAAGCCAGAAGAACAAACAGTAGTTCTCCTCTAGGAGAACTCTTTGATCATGGTTGCGACTCCATTTCCACAGGTAGCCTTCACCTACTGTTACCCATCCTAGTTTGTAGAGGTTAGCCCTGCTCAGAGAAGGGTCAGCATATTCCCATCTTTTAGTATAAAGTCTTCATCTCCTGGTCCATGCAGCCAAGTCTGCCTCTGATCTTTGCACCCCTGACCAGTATCAGGGAGGATATTTCAGAAGTTCCTTGGGCAGATGTTGGGTAAGATGCATTCTGGTCTTGCTTACCTTCATATACAGTGTTCTTTGAATGAGCGAGATGGTGAACAAAGAACTCCATAAAAGCATGCCTAAAAATTCTTTGTAAAGCCTGTGTTTTCCGGTAGGATACAGGTGATGCTTAATAAGGTATTTTAAGGGCAATCAAGACTGATGCTGGCATGTGAAACTAAAGATTCAACTTCAGGAGTGAGGTGCCAAAATACCGGTTTGGTAATAGGGCATCCAGCCTGGCACTTAAAAGAAGGATAATTCTGTAGAAGAATGAGTTTTAAAATAGTTGTGAGTCCTTAAGAAGCCTTGCTCAGATTCCATAACTTAGCAGCTGTTGGTGCCAGTGCCTTCTGTAAAGCTTAATGGCTGAAACTAGTTGCCCTGGGAATTAGTATGTTCCTGATGCCTCACTTCCCAGAGGAGTGCAGCTGCCAGTCTCTCTGAGCTGGGCCCTTCAGCTGAAGTTGTCAGTGTTGAGAAAACATGTGATGACAAGGCCAGGAGAAGGGAGAACCCCTGAAGGCCAGAAGGCAGGGCCCTCACTTGGCAGAAAAGGAGTGCTGTGTTTTGGCCTCTGCTGCCAGGACTGTCCCTGAGGTTAGCAGCTTAGCTACTCAGTCAAGTATCAGTCGTAGTATTACTTTGTTAGGGTGATTGTAAAATGCCCTGTGATTTTTAGGTTTTTTTTGGTAATTTCTCTGAATTTCAAGCAAAGAGGGTATGTAACTAACATGTTCATTTCTGCTTTTCAGTTTTTGTTGTCCTTGGATCCTGCATAGCAATCCGACTAGGAACAAATCCTGACTGGTTGTTTTTCTGTTGTTTTGTGGGACTGTTCATGTTCTATTCTGCTCACTGGCAGACATATGTATCAGGCATACTAAGGTTTGGAAAGTAAGTAGGTATCTTTAGAAGCACATGTGGCTTATTGTCTGAGGCTGCTAGCTACTTTCAGTTTCTTCTTGGTTTACCCCCTGCTTTCTCTCACCTTCTTTCTCATCTCCCTTCCACTCTCGTGTTTTACCTGGCAAGAAGTTTAAAGTCTGCATAATACTGAGGACTTGTTCTTTTAGCAGCTGTTAGCTGTATATGCTTTGTTTGCATGCATTTGACTCTTCCCTGCAGATTTGTTTTCAGAACCCACATAAGCACCGTGCAGGCTCAGGCCAGAGACGTGTTGTTTACATTGCAGACAAGTGCTCTGTGTAGGAGTAGGGACACACCAAGCATCTGCAGTACCTGCCTTTATAATCTCCCAGCCACAGAACAGTTTGGGCCCCAGGGGACTCTGAACCACATACATTTTTAGAGAAATTCCCCTGCTAATGGGTTTCCCTTTCGTAGATATCTTCAGTCTTCTTTGGAACAAACTCTCTGCGTCCATTGCATCCTTCAGCAAGGAGCTCCACCGAGCTATGGCAGTGCTTGAAGAATTACCCCACGTTTATGTGGGGGCCTTGCTTTTAATCTGGCTCATACTGGTTTGATGTCCTTTAGGTTTTGTGTTAGGTCACAGTTCTAGAGATTGCTGTGATGCTGTTCATGACCTGATAGACATTTCATCTGTTTCCACTGCAGCACAGGAGGAAAAGTCATGACATTCATGTAGAAGACATGATTTCAATTTAACTGCTAATAGTGTGGGGATTGCTGCACCCTCCTGCAGCTGTGGTGGTGCCTAGCCATGGCCTTTGGCTGTTTTTAAGCAATGAGCTGCAGTTTAGTGAGGAAAAGATCAGAGACTTCCGTGGCAGCAAAACTGGAAATAAGTGATAGATGAAGGCTGTCCTTCTGCTAATCCCAGTCACTTTCCAAGTCACCTGTTCATAGTCCTACTTAGCTTTGGCCTGTGAGAAGCAAATGTGAGCATCCCTGGGCACACTGGCTGGTGACCAGCTGTCCTTGTGTTCTGTTTGATGTCTGCATCGAGTGCAGGCTGTCCCTGTGATATTGCTAAGGGCTCTTTTTAGTTTGCTGATAATGCATTTTACCGCACAAGCTATAACTGGTCTGCCTGCCTGCACATCCTAAATTTTTAAAGGACATCTTTTGCTGTAAACAAAAATAGGTGCTTTAGAGTGATGGCTGAAATAGGATCATTTCTGTGCTTGACTGAAGGGAGATGGACTGCGGCATGAGCTCTGGCATTTTGCAGACATGATTGCTTTTCTGTGCCTTTTGTTCTTGCATAAAGTGTGAGAATGATTTCCCCACATCAGGAAGGCACTCCTATACCACATAAAAATTTCATCATTAAAAACTCAGTGACTTCTGCTTAAACACACTTATAGTGCATAGTGCAGACAGTTCAGAATGGCCTGGTGTTCCATGCCTACTGTTTGAAGTTAAACAGATAAAACTTTTCTCCAAGGTAATTTATTTCTGGTCAGTGAAAAAAGGCCACAGTTTTTTTTCAAGCCTTGCAGTTTTGTTTCTCTTAAGAATACAGGTGTGAGCCTAACTGAAGTAAGCATTAATATAGTGTTCTAAACATGGTAATATACAATAACATGGATGGAAACTCTCACTGATGCTGTTCCCGAATTAGCAGCACTTGATTTTAGAAATCAAATCACAGATGAGAGATTCCTACTGCTGATGTCCAGGAAGGAGCAGAGAGCTGAATAATGTAAAACTGTTAGATTATGTGGAATACTGCACATTGTCTGATTAAAGTCTTTGGACTCTGATTTGGGCTCTGTTGCAACCAGCAGTCTGAGCCTCTGTAACATTGAGTATTAAACTTTGTCACATATAATAATTCAAGTTCAAGCCTCCTCCCACCACCAGCAACAACAAAGCAAATACAGATTAGAAATAGGTGTTAATAGTGCAGAGTGCAACCTGTGAACACTTGCACTTGCCCATCGACACTTTTGAATGATGTAACCAAGTTCAGCAATGACTGGGTAGAAGTAACACTTTGTGCCTGGCAGAGAGGAAAGAGCCCACTCCCAGCACCACTGTCGCGTGACAGACTGTCATTTGACTTCGAGCCAGTTCATGAAATGGGCAGAAGATGAAAAGCCTACACTAGACTGGCAAGCTGAACTGGCTCACCTTGGAGTCTGATGAGCACTACAGATGGTAAAGCTGGAGGAATGCAAAGGTGTAGGAAGACAAGGACTCCCCATTCTAACAGCTTTAAGCAGTGACAAGCACCTCAGCTTATTACCCAGCTGCAGTTTAAACTTTGGCTTTAAGAGTCAGTCCCATATGTTCTGCAGGCTTTATCTGTCAGGTTTTCATGATAAGCTGGGCTAAAGAAATCTCTTCTGTCCCAGCCTGCTCTTTACAGTCTCTGCTTTTATATGATCTGCTTCTAATGGTTGATTGCATTTACCTGTGAGCTTCCCTTAAACTTTGCTTTGATACTGACATACCAACCAGTCTATAAATTTGTACAGAGTTCTCAAATAGTTAACAATGTATTTATTGAAGATTTTCCACCATTAAAATTATATGAAATGCAGCTTGCTCCAGATAAGGAGTATAGCTTTAATTTTACATCTTGGCCAGAGATGTGTGCCTACACATAGAGTACCTTTCTCAATCAAGGAAAGGAATTTATGTACACTGATGTAATTTTGAAGTACAGTTACTGGGATTTTATTCTCCCCTCTCTCCCCCCTTCCCCACACACACACTTTACACTTACAGCAAAAAGTCCTTTCCTTTAACTGAATCTCTTCTTTTCCTTCATAGAATTGATGTAACTGAAGTTCAGATAGCCATAACAATGCTGCTCTTGATATCTGCCTATGCAGGAGCAGCAATATGGGACTACAAGGTAAGTGTGTTAACTGTTCAGAGTTCCTGTTGAGCATTCAGTTCCTGTAAGTGCTCACAATTCCTGTGGTATTTGAAGCTGTCCTGTGCAAGTACCATCGACACCTGCTGTTTGTCTAATGTTCTGTTTTAGCTTATTGTATAAATGCAGGTTATTTTGATGTTGTAGTTACCTTAGATGTAATGGTGTGACTCCCTATGTGCAATTTAGAGCTACATAGAGGAAAAAAGACCCCATCTGCCACTTATATGAACTTCTGATCTGGAACTAATACTCTGCATGTCAGCAAATAGTTTTTGTCCTGGTTTTATGTATTTTGGATATTGTAAGACATATGTTTCTTTTCAGTTAAACAATCTATTTTAAAATTTAAGGATAAAATATTTTAATCTAATGAAACCATGGGATGAAGTCAGAGGGGTTTTGGTTAATCCATATTTGTGTTGGTGCAGATACACTGATTTTTAACAGTTGTGTCACAACCACAGAAATGTAAATATCTCTATTTAAAGAATTTCTTTCTGTCTCTAACTTTTATTCTGATCTTTAGAGATGCACTTTAGTGGACAGTATCAGAAGTATATGAAACTTAAGATTTTCATTCCTACTAGGGTCTTTACTCAGAAATTTACAGTTCTGCTTGGCTATCACACAAGGAAGAGCTGAAACCATTCCATACTATTGATAACCAATACAAATTAACCTAAATATAAACGACCAAGAAATTAAAATAAATTCATAAGTTTATTCAGCAATTAAGAAATGCTTAGCTAAAGTTTTTCCTTTCCCCATACTGCAAGATATTTTTGTTTGTTTTCAAAAAGCTTATTTTCATGTTGGAAAACAAAGTAGGTGCATTAGACTTTAATTATGATTGATTTTTTTTCCCTTCACTATTAAAATCTGTTGTAGTTATGCTGTATCTCAAAACACTATATTAAAAAATATAGTCAATGGTTTCAATTTATTACTACTTTTTTTTTTTAATCCTCTGCTGCCTTTGGAAGGTTCCTTGAAACTGCAATTGATTCCAAAAGGTAACTCTTTAATTAAAATTTGTATCTGGAGACTATTCAGGATAGTCTCATGATATGCAAAGATACAGCATACAAATAACATACCAAAACACACAGCAGGCAGATGGTGTTTGTGTTTCCTGTGGTGCAGTGTTGTGTTATCCAGTGAAATAGAAGGAACTCTCCTCTTTCCCCCTCCCATACCATGGTGATGCAGTAGTCTCTGTCAAGTTTTTGCTTATGTAGTAAAAATGTTTGAAGAACAGAACTGAAGTACTCAAAAGTTGAGTTTAAACATTACAAAAGGTATTTGTTGTTTCCTTAGTAAGGAAATGAATTCCAAGCACTGTTGTCTTGATCTTCTTCCTGGGAAAGCAAGAGTTGAAATAAAATGTTTGTTTAGTAGGTGTGAGTGGCTTCTGTAATCCCTTTTTTAAAAAGGTGGTGTGCTTAACCTCTGATATCTTTCTCTTGTCCTGTTGTGTTTTTTTTGGTTTTGTTTTTCTGTGTTCTGCTAAGGTCCCTTTGGTGGGCTTAGAACTGAAGTTCTTTGCAGTTATTGGCATCCTGTGTGGAACAGCACTTTCTTTTTTCAATTACTTCCGTGTCATCTTTGGTGGAGGGGTTGGAAAGAATGGCTCTACAATAGCAGTAAGTTGCTCTAAAAACCTGAATGATATTTGAATAATTTATGCCGATAATTTCTTGCATTCCAGATGATCATAAGGGTTTTATTTGTTTGAGCGTTTAAGCAGACAGGCATATGAGTGTTGGGTGGCTAAAGCAAAGACTTCATTATCTACCTTCTCTCTGCCTGTTACTGGATTTCTTCTGTCGTGGGAACCAGCAGTGAATTGTCTTACAAAATTAATTAGTGGTCACTGCAGAGGATTCCAGTAGCATTCCAATGGCCTAATGCTGATGGACTTTCCTGAGTTTTGGCAACTCTGGTTTTGTTTAATGGGATTTGCAATATTTATTAAAATCTGGATGTTACTGTGTGACTGAAGTCTAAGACAAATTTTCTGTCCATTTACATTTTAGGGAACAAGTGTTCTTTCGCCAGGCCTGCACATTGGACTACTTATCACACTGGCCATTATGATTTATAAAAAGTCTACAACTCAGCTGTTTGAAAAACACGCTTGCCTGTATGTCTTAACATTTGGGATTGTGAATGCCAAAATCTCACAGAAGTTGGTGGTAAGGATTTTTCTTTCAATCCTAAACCTCCTAAAACTAAACTGGTTCTTGGCTTAACACTTGCTGGATCAGCAGGCATCATGCAGGTTTTCCCATTCTGCTCTGCCACTGTATTACCAGTTTCATTATGACCCAGACACTGAACTATACTCAGGGTCCTACAGAGAAATTCTATATGATACTGCTGCAAATGCATACTTTCTGTTGAATGTATTGGTTGGAACTTTCAGTTTTGTTTAACTTACTCCTAGAAATATACTGTCTATAATTTAATATCCTAACTCTGGTCCCTCAATCCTTACTCATAGTGCTGTGACTTCTGATTTAGTTATCTGAAATAGGAATTTACTTTAATCATTAAAATAATGAGAGAAACTTTCCTGTCTTTTTTATACATAAAAACCTCATCAGTGGATTAAAAAAAAAAAAAAATCTGCCTTACTACATATTTGCTAATAACAGTAATTCAGACAGCTAATTTTTTTTCTTCTGGCGTGACATTTTTCAAACATTAGAAAACAGGTATTGGACAGACTTTTTGGCTGAACAGGTGTTCACCTAGTGAGCTACTACCTGTTCAAGAGAGAGAATGCTGATACGAACACTGAGCCTTAAGACTGAACTTGAGGCAGTTCTGTCAAACAGATGAACTGCCCTATTCGTTCCTTGCTCATTCAGAGGAGCCATTTTTAAGCTTCCTGGTATGGATTCTTCATATGTCTTTTATTAAGTCACCAAGTTCCTAAAAAGAACTCTTAGTTAAAGGTGAGCTTAAGTTGTCTCTAAGAGTGCTAAATATGGAAGGAACAAGGGATGTGTGGGGAGAACAGATTTCTTCCCTTCACCCCCAGTAATGTTCTCTTGGTCAGTCTGTAAAGTGTCTCTGAGCATACATTACCTTTACTAAACACTGAGAACAAGTCTTGTTACCTAAGCAAAAGCCTGCTTCCTATTTAGCTTTTGGCTAGGAAGAGCCAAAATTTTCAAGTTACACTTGAAAACAACATTTCAAGCGGATGGTATTTGTTTTCAGTAATACACCTGCATAGTCTTACCCTTTGATTACGACACTGAAAAATTAAAGATTTGGAAACCCCTGCAGGTAGCTGTACACTGGTACAGATTAACTTAGAGAACATTGCTGGGCAAGGAGGTCACGCACGTTTGCTTTTATTTTTTACATAGGTGGCTCACATGACAAAAAGTGAAATCTCTCTTCAGGATTCTGCATTTATTGGGCCAGGACTTCTGTTTTTGGACCAGTACTTCAACAGTTTTATTGATGAATATATTGTTCTATGGATAGCATTGGTAAGTGTTTTATACTTCTAATTTGGACCATAGTTAAAGGAATGGATTGAGAATCGTCCCTGTAATTCTGCTCTGCCATTTCTGACCTGCTCCCATTTCAGCTGTCACTGTGGAGGGAGTGCCAGGGTACCATGTAAACATGTATTTTGGGAGCTGACTGGCTTTCTTTCCTTGGAAGAGATGTGAAAGTAAATTTACAAAATCTCTCTTGTAATTATGTTTTAGCCCACGTGGGTTTAAATTGTTCTGTGAACTGCAGACTAACCTTTGTTTATCGGATTTTGTAAGTGTTTAGTGGTGTTGGGGTGTCAGGGTTTTGGGGTGGTTTTGTTTTTTTCTAAACTAGACCACTATATATTAAGCTATATATTAAAATGATTGTTATACTTGTCCCGTGGGTAGATCCTTATTAAAGTATAACATATTTATAGTAGGGACAACTGAAAAAAAAGTTGGATTTTGTTTTAACCTGTTCTGTTTTGCTCTTTTGAAGTTCATATCCTTGTTTGATATGCTGAGATATGCCACTGGTGTGTGCCTACAGATTGCTGCTCATCTTCATATACATGTCTTCAGAATTTCATCTCATCAAGCTCCTGAACAGGTTCAAAACCATAATGACTGATTAAATAGGTCAAGGACAAGAGAAGAAGCAGTTAGGGGAATGCTGAATGAAGCAGCCCCTCTGTTTTTGGGAAGACAGATTAAGCTCTTGAAGAAAACAGTTTTATGAGAAAGTTCACCGTATCCCAGACATTACCAGATGTTAGAATTAGTAGATAACAAAGTTCTGCAGATGCTATTGTGATCAGTACTTTTGAACCAGCATGTATTTCAGACCTTCAATACCACATTTGAAAATGTTGCCCTTTCCTGTTAGGTAACTTTAATTTTGTACTTCTCTTTTGGTGAATGTAGGCTGCAAACCAAGGTGCTACCAACCAGAATATAAAGAGGAATTTCACGTTTCCCTAGACTGACTAATATTGTAGCATTCGTTTCTAAAGTTTTCGTGAAAGTGCTCTGAAGTGTTAGTCAGATGTACCAATAAATACAGTACTGCAGCATTGAGACTGGTAAAATGAGGCAGCCATGAGGTAAAACCACTCAGTCTCTCTTCTGATATTTCTAAGGAACAAGCTGCTGAATCAGTAGATGAAGGAGGTACAGCTCAGGAAAATTTTATTCTACTTCAGAGTACTGTTATGAGTGCCTTTAGGATTCGTGCATTCTCTAGTATCCAAGCACATAACTTACTGCTACCAGATAAAACTGGAGCTTGTACTTTCAAGGCCAGTTTCTTGTTTTGTAGTCATAACAAGATTTGTCTCATTACACTTCATCATTATCTGGACTAGAGGGAGCTGTGTAATTCAAGGATACTGACTGTAGTTACCCTGACGTGTATCTGTGAACCTGTGCAAGCCAATGACAGAGGTCATTAAATGACTGCAGCTCTAGCAATGTAACCCACCCATGTGTATTTCCCTATATGGTTATTTTTGCTATTGCTGTGTTCATCTTCCTTATAATTGATCGAATTGTCTTGTAGCTACCGCTGTACTTTATCCAAACAAAACAGCACGAAACTAAACCATAATGTAAAACTCCAAACCAGGAAGTCAGGCCCACTCTCAGCCTCCCTCTTTAAGACCAGACCCATTGGCTAATATAATGTGCAAAACTACAGGGCTATTGTCATTGGAGAAAAGTAGCTTATCTGTATGAATAAATCAGGACTTGCACACAAACCCTTTAAACTTAAGCTCCTTTAAAGAGGTACATTTAAATATGATTTATGTAAAAAGTTGTTGAATGTAAGAGTCCATTACTACTTTCAGTTGTTGTACCTGAGCTTCGAGTTCATGAAGTCCTTCCTGAACTGTTCAATAAAGAATGCTGTGGTTTGTTTTAAAAATTCTACCCCTGCAGCTTCCAGGCTTCACGTTAATTCAGAAAGATTTCCTGAGGTGTTCAAGGAACTTCAATAGTGGTACATTGTCTGCTAATCTGGAGGGAATAAAATAGCATCTACCACGCTAACAAGAATTTAGTGATACTCTTGAGGGATAACTGTAACAGTTACTGCCACAGGACTAGAACTCTTAAGTGACTCGTATCAATTCCACATGAATCCTACTACTCCTGTTTGGGAAAGACACAGCATCCACACATGAACTTAGCCTGAACCCAGGCCACGGGCAAATAGAAAAGAATACTGTAAACAACCACCTGATGAAAAGACACGGGCACCTTCTTCAGAGTGAGAGGATTGGGTTCCCCACAATGGGCAAAACTATTTCATGTCATAGTAGACATAGTAGACATTTTAAGGATACGATTGAGGCATGTGGATGATTGGAAACTAACGAGAAATCACTCAGAAAACAAGAAACGTGAGTCAATACTAACAAATAAAACCAGAAACAGGAGGTAATACTAACAAATAACCTCCTGTTGAAGATAGGAAGCGAAACCTGTTAACTATTTCATAGCATCTAATTGTCCTTAGAGGGTTGAGACACTCAGCAGCACAGTTATAAATCGTCCTGGTCACTGGTACCCACCAGAGGCCCATATTGCCTTGTGCATCATGGTAACAATATAACTTATATAATTGCTCCTTCCCTGAATCCTAGCAGAGGCAGAACAAGGAGTTCCATACTGGTTTCTTACTCAACTTCAGTTGCAACCTGGTAGCTGAGTTTCCGTAGGTTTGACACCCAGAAGTGAAAAATCATCAAATGACTTGATTCCAAACTAAAAATGCTAGTAAGCTGAGGAGAAGGATATGGTTTTGAAATATATTGTTATGAAAACATCACATTTGTGTGTGTGGGTGTGTGGATGGTTTTTGTTTTATCTACTGTGGTATGAAAAAGCATTAAATGTGTTAGGAACTACGTAATTTGTGAAAGTGGATATTCAGGTGTAATGGTTTTCTGTAGAAACAAACTGCATGCACACTAAGCCAATTGTTTAATTTATTTACTGCAATGAGATACATGAAAGATAAATGCTTTACCCTTAAAACTCAGGCCTCCCTAAATTGTTAGTCATTTGGGGTTGCAAAAAGTAATATTCCGTCTCAAAGGCTTGTAATAGCTTGTACTTAGTAAATGAGGTAAATCTACCCCACCTTCTTGCAGTGGCTCTACAAGAAGTATATACCCCAAAATGCATAATGTTCAGTTATGCTTACTGGAGCTGATACATGAAGCTCTTCATTCAACTAAAAAAAACTCCAACGTTTTCTGGACAAATTACAGCAGTTCTTAAATCTCTTACTAATACAAGGATATTACAAAACCTAGCATAACAAAAGAGTTAACAAAATGTTTTCCTGTAATACATCATTAAACAATCTTACATGAGCTATGTCATACCCCGAGAACTTATAACTGCTGATATGTCAGCTTACTAAATGCTGAAACTACAGAAATCTACGTCTCGTGAAAAATGCTTCTATTTGCACAATTTACCTAAGGCCTAAGGTTATGTACAATCTGACTAAAGCATTTTAAATTATTTTTTCCCATTGTTACAATTTGCAATTAGAAGAAGCGAAACAATTTCAACAGTCCAGTGCTATTGAAAGTGAATATTAGGTAGTTAAAAATTAATTGGACAGACAGTAAATGGTTTGGGGTCTACACTGCCCCCTCCATTAATAAAATTTACTAATCTATGTGCTTACGGCATTATCAGATACAAGATTAGAACAATCCATGAAAGCCTTTAAGAGGAACCTTAAAACATTTATATCTTAACATCCTTCTCTGTGGCTAATGCCTGTACTTGTGTCATGTTACTTAGGTACAACTTGTTTCTCCATTGAGCCATCAGAATAACATGGACTGAAGAGACTTGCGAACAGTTGCCATCTCCTGCTGTTGCTGTGACGAGAAAATGAGATAATACTGAACAAATGCCGTATCAATATGAGTCCTTTGAATTAAATGAATGTCAAATGACTTTCAATAGAATGTTCTATTTTTGCATTTAACTGACTTCACAGATCTGATACTTACGGTGTCCATCATAATCTTCTTCTGCAACATAGCCATTTCTTTGCGGAGTTCATTTTGGGCACCCGCCAGAAGATTTTCATTGCTCTTCTCCAGCTCATCCATGCTCTGAAGTTAAGGATAATCTTAATTCAGAACTCTTCAGTGTCAAAGTGTTCATTTAAAACAAGCAAACAAACCAATCTTTCATTTTCTTACTGTAATTTAATTTTTAAAGTATTCACTGATAATTGATTAGCTTTGTCACAAACTTGACAGAGGAATCATATAGTACTTCACACTCCAGTCTACATTCCTATTTAAACACTGTGGACCCTGTGAAGGAAATGGTATCCTCCAGGCAGCTTCTGTGAGGTCTTAGCTAGTTATTCTGCATTTTAATTAAGAGTTGCACAAGAAGAACTTGAACAGACATCTGTCAGGAATGCTAGGGGTTTGATATTATGGCAGCCTTGAGGGACTTGAAGTAGGGACTATAAAACCCATTATATGTCTTTGCACACTTCTCCCCAAATAAAACTCACTGATTATTTTCCCTTTTGTACCTACAATTATGCCTACCTCTGTGTATGCGTCTAGTTGCATTTTCTTTAACTTACATTTACTTAAACACATTTGAGGCTTGACTTTTGAGCTTCTTTGAGGAGAAAAATCAAAGTAATACTTGACCTTCTGTTCAACTTTTCCTCTTTGATGAAGACATTTTTGACATTTTGGAATAGTTATTAATGCTTCTGTAATATCCTCTATAAATTTTGACTATCTTAAACTAAGAGTTGCACTATTTCAGATTTATTTTCCTAAACTACTAGACTTGGAAAAAAAACCACCAAACCAAACCAAACACCAAGCTTATTGTAACTAACTGAAATTTCAAAATGGGACCAGTTAGAAAATGACTTGAACAGAACTTAGTCAGAAACTGACAGACTTGAATCCACTCCATATACCGGGGCCATGCAGCTGGAAAGCAGCTTGGCAGAAAAGGACCTGGGGGTCCTGGGGGATACCAAATGGAACATGAGCCAGCAATGTGCCCTTGCAGCAAGGCAACCAACAGTTTCCTAGGCTGCACTGGGAAAAATGTTGCCAGCAGGTCAAGGGAGTTGATCTTTCCACTCTACTCAGCACTGGTGAGGCCACACCTGGAGTGCTGGGTCCAGTTCCAGACTCCTCAGTACAAGGGAGACATGTACATACAGGATAGAGCTCAAAGGGCCATGAAGATAATTAAGGGACAGAAGTGTTTCTCATGTGAGAAAAGTCTGAAAGAGATGGGACTGTTAAGCCTGGAAAAGAGAAAGGAAGGGCGATCTTATCCATATACATAGTGCCTGAAGGGGAGAATGCAAAGAAGATGGAGCCAGGCTCTTGAGGTGCCCAGTGACAGGACCAGGAATGACAAGACAAACTGAAAACAAAGGAAGTTCCCTCTCAACATCAAGAAACACTTCTCCTGTGAGGGTGACTGAGCATTGGAATAGCCTGCCCAAGAGGCTGTGGAGACCCCATCCTTGGAGATACTCAAAAGCCGTTTGGAAATAAGTCCCAAGCAACAACTCTAGGCAGCCCTCCTGTACTGCTTGCTGGCAAGACCAGACGTCCTCCAGAGGTCCCTTCCAACTGCAGTCCTTCAGTGATTCTCTGGTGCTGTGCCTCTGCATTCATTACAAAATCAATCATTTAGGGTATTTTCATTTTTCTCACAGTTTAATTCTCATATACCTTAGAAAAAGTGGGCGAAGGACATTCTGTGAATGAAGTGCTTTGTTTTGGTGTACAATGAAAGGGGAAAACCTTAACTAAAAAGTAAACTTTTTGTGTAGTTATACTCAAAATATTTTTTTGCTTGCTTTCTAGTATGTAGCTACTTTGTTACAAAAATACCAAATAATTAAAAAACCTAAATTACTAGAGCTTTCTTAAGTGATATAAGGGTCAGCTGCCTTCCAAGCAAAAAATTTACCTTCAAGAACTGCTCGTAGAGTTGCTTAATGGTTTTCAGTCTCTGACTTTGAACTATTCTTGCCTGTTGAAAAACTTTTTGTTGCTGACGAAGCATATTCTGAAGTAGAAGAAAGAGGAAAACATAGTTGCTATAGTTGTTAACCAAAGCACTTTGACGGCACACCAATGTCATTTTCCAGAGTCAAAGATTCTGCCTTCACTGAAAAATCTGTGCCTTGTAGATTTCTGCCCAGAGAGTTACCCTTGCTCTTAGTAATTAAAGTAAGGTAAATACTGGATTAAGCCTGAGTCACCTCCTAAGGTCCCTTCCAACCTGAATTATCCTTGTAAAATCCTATGATGATTGCTATCCCCTGCAGCTCCTTTATGTGCTGCCTAAATGTGCTGCCTGGGGAAAAACAAAATTTGCAAATGTGTTGGAAGTACAAATACAGCAACATCACTTTTTTACATTCCATTGTATGGTTCCTATCCCCTTCCAATTATCAAATTCTCTTACATTTACTACATACAGGCATATTTTTAAGAAAACTACTTTTAAGAAAACTACTTTCCATTATTCCTTTGTTCCCTGAACCGAAAGACTATGGATGCAAAGAAACAGCACACATCTTTCTGCTCAATAAATGGCCTTGGCTTTTCTCAAGCCTTATGCTGGCCTAGGGCATCACTTAGGGCCATTTATAAACTTGCAACAAATATATGATGATATTTTGCAAAGAGGGTTGCATTTATAAACTTGCAATAAAGTTTATAAATGCAGCCCTCTTTGCAAAACATATATTAGTTTAAACTACATAAAGTCTTTTCACATTTCTTGGGTGGCTAAACAAAGGTATTCCCTCCTTGTGAAAATACAGTGAAACTTATGCCATGCCGGAAACTCACCACTAGTTTTTCTTCCTGCTCCTCTGCTTTTTGCACATCTACATCCCATTGCTGAAATAAAGTCAGGAACTGCTGGGAGAACTCATGATTGAGCTTCTGCCTAGAAACAGACACTATCATTAAGTATGACTATAAAGAATTACAAGGAAACCTAAGGTTCAACGTACACATGGAGTAGGATAAAAGTTGACGTAGATAAAGAAACAGGATATTTAGACATCTGACCCTCACTGAATAGAGTGTGTTTTGAAAAACTGAACATACATAGGCACACACTTTAGGTGAATGTGAATTTTATATATATATATATATATATATATATATATATATAAGGAGACAGCACTCACATACAAAACTCAGGTTAAAAAGAAATATAACAACTTTTCTTCCTAACACTGTCAGGTTTTCTGAGGTTTACCAAGTCCTTCTAACCCAATTACAGATATTTGTTTTAATTTAAGAGGTTTTTAATGCAAGGCTGATCAGCTAATGAATGGTTCTTCATTAGTTTATGATGCTCTAAGTTTCTCTGTGTAAATTTAAATTTTGTCCATAAAAGTTTCAGATAAATATATATGTACATATACACGTAGAACAACACTAAAACAGTTTTAAATATTGCTGACTTTCAGTTTTTAGCTGTCTCATTTTTCAGTTTGCTCTACCTGTAGTATCAGATGTAGTAATTAAATATGTGTTAAGAGGGGAGAGGAATATTATGTAGGGTGAAAATTGTTTTCTTTCTTAACTTGAATAGCATTGAAGTTTTACTGAACATTTTTTCAAGTAGAAACAGAAAATTCCAAAGTGGAAAACACCCCCCACATTGTTCTAAAAGACAAAAATAATATCAAAGGTCACTTTCCATAAAAATAAAACCAGCTCTTTAACGCACCTTGCTCTCAGAATTCTAGTTCTTAAGTTTCTATATTCAAAAGAGAATATGCTAAACTATTACTGTCAGTTTTGCCAAGTGGACACAACTGGAGGCAGCGGAGACCCTGAGCAGATACTGAACTACTAGGTACAGTACTTGCCATTTAATTGCAAGAAGATGGATCAGCTATCATTGCTGTGACACAAAAGGGAATCTGGTTCCACAGGTTTGAAAACCAAGAGTAAATGTTACCTTTGCTCCTGCTGCGTTTTCCAAACATGTTCAATCTTCTGGTTACTGGTTTTGAGTGAGGCTTTTGTATACATTTCTAATCTTTTCCTCTTAGCTAAGAGAGCCTTGTTAATGTCAGCTAAAAGTCAAAGAATATTTAGAAATAAGGCATAGTGGATACATTGTGCCATTTATTAAAAATGCTGAGAAGTAAAAAAGAGGTGTGTTCTAAGGGAAGGAAGCCGGTGTGATCTGGGCTGTGTCCCTCAACTGCCATTGCCCAGCCCCACAATAAATGTGGCATCTCCTTCGAGTCCCACCTCTCTCAGATGCCAGACCAAATAAGACCCGCTGTGATGTGACTGAGCTGTAGCTGCTTTGATTCTCTCAGGCCAGTGGTAGGTTCTGGCTTTGAACTGACACACACAGTGAACTGAAACTCCAGTGGCTTGAACTCAGGGGAGCTGCTACTCTGTACACTGAGAGCGGGGCCTTACACGCTGTCATCGTGTGCTTCACTACAGATTATTGTGGTCCAACATGGCATCAGCTGTGCAGTAACTACACACACATTCTCACAACACCAGAAGCACTACTCAATTCTCACTGTGTAGGCACATTGTATTTGGACATATCACAGCCTATAAATTCTCCATTCAAAGCTAGAGATACCTTGCACAAACTTCTTCCTTTCTCTAGTATCTCATGATATTTTAGTAACATCATCAAAATCTTCCTGAGTTTTTTCCTGCATAACTGTGGTGATAGCTCAGAGTTTCTAGACTTTCAAGGAATTTAGTTATGCTGACATTTTAATTATATTTTTCCTAGAAAAACCACACCTGTTTCAGAGTAATATTCCAATTACTTGGATTTCAGAAAGAAATTAGAGGTACTATGTGGTTACTATCACTGTGAACATAGTGAATGAACAAACTATATTTCATACTTCAGAGACAGTATGTTTTAATACTTAATATAAATTA